ATCCAGCCTGTCCAGGTCTCTCTGCAGAGCCCTCCTCCCCTCAAGCAGATCAACGCAACCACCCAGTTTGGTGTCATCTGCAAATTTACTGAGGGCACATTCAATCTCCTCATCCAGGTCATTGATAAAGATATTAAACAAGACTGGCCCTAGGACTGAGCCCTGGGGGACACCGCTTGTGACCAGCCACCACCTGGATTTAGCTCCATTCACCACGACTCTCTGGGCTCGGCCACCCAGCCAGTTTTTAACCCAGCAAAGAGTACATCCATCTAGGACATGAACTGCCAGCTTCTCCAGGAGAATGCTATAGAAGACTATGTCGAAGGCTTTGCTGCAGTCCAGGTATACAACATCCACAGCCTTTCCCTCATCTACCAGGCGGGTCACCTGGTCGTAGAAGGAAATCAGGTTGGTTAGGCAAGACCTGCCTTCCATGAACCCATGCTGACTGGGCCTGATCCCCTGATTGTCCTCCATGTGCCTGGTGAGCACACTCAAGATGAACTTCTCCATAATCTTCCCCGGTACTGAGGTCAGGCTGACTGGTCTGTAGTTCCCCGGATCCTCCTTCCGGCCCTTCTTGAAGATAGGTGTCACATTTGCCAACCTCCAGTCATCTGGGACCTCCCCTGTTATCCAGGACTGCTGATGATAGAGAGTGGCTTGGCCAGCTCCTCTGCCAGCTCCTTCAGCACTCTTGGGTGGATAATAAGTCTTCGGAAACTTTGCAATCTTTTATTAAGAATAAAATTTGCTACTTCCTCAATACTTTCACGGGAATTAAAGCTGTGGTTTCAAGGAATTTCTCAAAAATCAAGTGCCAACTACAGTTCTTGGCTGCAGCTTCAGTTCATGGAAGAGTCAAGCATCTAGATCCAACTACCTAAATTACACATTAGAAAAACCACGTTTGGCATAACAGAACTCTCAATTCATTCTGCAACTTCAAACTGGAAGGAAAAGTAAGAAAAGGAGCTCTATCCTGTTATGAAATCGACTGTATGGTGCAGCCATTTCCAATAGCGCGATACTGGATTTGAGGATCCAAGTAGACTTCTTCCAATCTTATGATGTTACACACTACTTATTCTTGGAACAATTTCTTTCATTGCAGACCACACCTGCTCCCTTTCTTCCTTAGAAAATTTTCCCTCTAGTCCATTTTTTTCCATATTCCTGCTCTGATCTGCGGGAACCCATGCCAATATTCATGCTTCATTCTTTAATAGTGCATTTCTACACTGAAAACAAACAAGATAAAATAAAGGAGACAATCTTCCTCAAACCGCGTGAACTCAACCATATCTACTCACATTTGTGACAATGAATCTGTATTATTTATTATTCCTTTTAGCACCACAGAGTGAGTATGGCACTAAGCAAGGCGAACGCCTGCATCTATGACACCAATGTTTGCTGATGAGTAAATAAACTGGGTAGATGCGACTGAAAACAAGGCACTGATTTCATGAAGACAGTGCTGTGCAGCATCAGACCCAGAGCACTCTGCACTCTTACAGGGTCAGACTTATCTTTTCCTCAGAAATTCTGTTGCACTCCCATAAATTTATGGAGCTTGCTAGGGGAAAAATCCCTTCCAAAGAGTTCTAGAACATCGATGACTTTGGGAGTTCCTAAACTATAGCTTGTCCCAGAACCCTCGTTCCCTGCCCAGGGGGAAGTTTAGCAGCAGCAGCATGAGGGTATTCCAGCCAACTGCTAGATTCTGTAACAGGTGACTCAGTACAATACCAAAAATCTCCAGCAGCGTCTAAAGCAACCTCCTGCCTGAGTTCTAACTCATCCAATCCAGAATTAAGCATCACTGAGCTCTACAGAAACTCAGTTGGGAGGACAAAAGTTTTTTTTTTTGTTGTTCTTTTTTTAACATTAAAACAGTACCTCTAGGGCATAGCATAGTGCTCAGATGGAAAATTGCTGTCCTGTAAGTAGAATGATTCCTTGTTGAGCACTTCTGCTTCATTGTTAGACAGCCTACAACTTTCCACAGAATTCAGCCTCACCAAAACAAACCAAACAAAAAGTCATGGAATATTTCAATAAAAATGAGTTCCTGTGCTTCTCTCTCTTCTCTCTCTCTCTGTATTTTCCTGAAGGGGATAATAAAATATTTTTCAAGCCAACTAATATTTTCTTTCACTTCAGGACATTTCTTGTATCCTACTTAATTTCTGCAGCCTGGATCCTAAAATAAATGTTTTTCCCTTATCAGTTAATATGGCTCAAAAGGAGACATGAATGAGCATTTACTATGAAAATGTAATTACAAATAGAATAAGCCAAACAACACCTAGTGTTAGACTTTTACTTTCATTTTGGGTCCACTGGTTTCATTATCAGAAACTTCTGAAGAAGATATTTACTTCATGAAACAATTGTATTTCAGAAGACATTTGTAAATGTTGAAATAATCACCTCTGAGCTGAGATGACGTGAGATTCCAGTACACACCTCACTAAAAATGCATGTCATAGCTACAGCTTTTTTTCTAAATATTCCTAAAAGAAAACATCCTATTTTGTGGGATTATATGATTATGACATTGGTAGATGCTATGTACATCTCTATGCCAAAATAATTAAATATAACATATCGCAACCTCTCCTACATGATTCAGCTGAATTCTATTTCCAGCTGTAGGATTGCTATTTAGCTAAGCAATAGTTACACATTCCATGTACTCTTACTTTAAACTCAGGTCCTTTATATCAGATATTTCAGGAGAATAAGACTTCAAATCAGTTCAAGCGTAAAGTCTATTTGGACTCCATTTTCCTGTTAATTGTTTCAGTTTTTTCTCATGTTTTACAAAGTGATTGTTTTATAGCTAGACACAGGAAACCCCTTATTTAACAATTTTAAGTACCAATGCTTTGGAGCTATATGAGAATGTTAAAAAAAGTTCTATTTAAAAGTTACTGCTAAATTAATAAATATTTGGCATCTGGTCTCAAATTGTTTGTATATTTAGCAGTTTGAAAATGAACCAAGGTCAACATCCTAAAGCTGATTAGAACATGAAGTTAAAATGATATGCTATGATATTGTTAAAAGGTACCATCAAAGTGTTTGTCTAGGAAAAACAACATTCATTGTACACTTATTATAAATAAAACTATAAATTATTAATGGCAAAGCTATTTTGTTTCATCTAGGTGAAATTATTCAACTGTTCTTAAAAACAGTACTGCCTAACTTTTTTGAGGTAACCTTTTTTAAACCTAAAGGAATCAAGACGATGTAAAATCCACCCCCAACTCCTGAAAGTATGGAGGAATCATTCTCATCTAACTTTAGTCATCAAAGAGTCAGGAAGAAGCTGCTGAAGCTCCCCAATCTGCAAGCACTGAAAGAAATAGATCTTTACGGTTTACTGATTTGCATTAAAAAAAAAAAAGAAACAAAAGACACAGGTAGCCAAAAACCACTAGCCATAGCAAGAGAATATAGGAAGAAGCTCTAGCAATCTGATATCTTTTGTGACCTAAGAATAATGCTGAAACTAAGCGTTCACTATATACCTTCCCGTGATCCTTCAAAAGAGAATAGGTTGGGGTTTAAATTTAAATTTTACAGACTGTTTCTTCATTTCATATATGCACTAAGTTAGCCTGTGCACAGGCAAGTTTTATATGGAAATTTAAAATAAATAAAAACATAGGAAGTATCAGATTTGAATGGGCACATATTTGGCAGAGGAAAAAATGTTAAATGTTTCTCTCTTACAAATCACTCCACACTATCAAATTTATTGTTGTTGGTTCGTTCAGTGATTGAGCTAATATCAAAACACTTCAGTGTAAAAGAAAACATGCCACAACTTAGAAAGAGTTTATATTTTGGGCAAAAATAAATGAAATTTCTGTTGAGGAAACTGACAGACTCCATATGGATTTCTTGTCAGGAAAGATTATTTCAAGGCTATTGACAAACCCAATTTAGTTGCCTACAATAAGATCAAATACACCATAAATTTTAAAATCATGATTTTGTTAAAGAGTCTGTCCAAAACAAACAAGCCTTGTTTTGCATTAGCACATCTGACTTAACAGTGGATCCAATAAACGATATAAATGGCCACAATCCAGAATTTAAGGAGAATACACCTGATTTTGAACCACAGACTGCCCCAAACAGGACACAAAACCTCCTGAGTTACCAGGGAGCATTAGATACTTCAGAACAGAATCCAAAATACTAACAAAACCACCTGTACTAGAGCTTGCAAGAATAATGTTAAGCACAGCAGTGCTTGAACTCCTACATCTGCTGCTGCGCTCAAGCACTGCAATTACTATCCAGAGTTGAAGCGGCAGCCCTCAGGACAGATGCCTACAATAATTTTTATTTTTTTTTTTTCAATGAACGGAGCATGATTCATTGTCTTCCTGCTAAAGAAAGGCTAGAGAATAAAAACAGGAAGGCTGTATTATGCATGATAGCCATGTAGTTTGAGCAATGGCTTAAGACACAGGAAAACACAAGACTCTAGGTCTTTTTTAGCGGACTGTTTGAAACGTTTCTGAACTTTGATTAGTTTAGAAGTTCAAATCTTACTAACTACAAAATAAATAACAACACAAACCTGGATTTCTATGTGACGAGGGTTATCAATGAACTTTTCTATCAGCAAGCGATCATCACCAAAACTTGAAGCAGCTTCTTGAGATGAAAATCTAAAACCTTCCCTTTAATGAAAACAAAGAGAATAATCTACATTTTAAAAGTTAAGTCAGGTTCTGAAGTCTACAAAGAGAAGGAACACTTATTCATTCCAGTCATCTGGCAGTTTTCATCAATCAACACCCACATCCAAAAACCAAGTTTCATCATCTGCATTTAATTCTTTAATGAGCATCCCTTTTTTCTTTCTTTTCTTACCAAACAAAAAAAAATTACATTTTCAAAGCACAGAGAATTTCAGAGTGTTTAAAAAGTCTGGACATTTCCAACAATTATTTGTATGAATTTTCTTTGTTGGCATTTTCTTCTTCAAAAGTAGTAAAGTAATCAAATTTTAAAAACCATTAATTACAAGGTACTTGTTACACAGAAGTAAAGGTGAAGCTCACCATTATTTAAGGTACACAGCCCTCTTAATACTCAAGAATAGCAGAGGTTAGTTGCACATTAATTAGATGAAAGAACTGCAGATATAATATTGCAGACCTTGTAAATTCAATCACTGAACACACAACCTGAAGATGCAATACTTCCCTTTATAGAGCATACCAGCTGTACTACTAGTTTTTCCCTGCTTTAAAGTATAATTGTGTTAGACCATGCATTCCAAATATTTCCATTTTCTCTTTTCTGTATGTAATTACTCAAACAAATAAAGACTGTAAGATACCATATTTATTGACTTTATTTTCCATAGCAGAAAGATTACTCGTATGGGGCATAACTGCTGACAAACAACTTCATGTACAGCTTTCTCAGGGTGAAATGTACCATAATGCAGGGACCCAAAGGCTCCACAGAAGTTTTCTACAGGCTTAGTAGTCCTGTTTATGTTGATACATATGGTAAGTTTGGGGTAAATTTCTGTGAGGTTGACTACTGAAATGCAGCAGCCCTGATATTTGTGCCCAAATAAGAAATACAGCACAAGCAAGTTGACGTTTCCACACTTTCCATCTCTTGAATCTAGTTCAATTCCATAAACAAAACCTGGTCAATAGAACCGTGAGATAAGTAAATCTACAGCATAGATACATGTATGTTTAAAGGTATTTCACCACCTTCTTTCGAGATTGTGGAATAACATATGCTACAATTTTGAGAGATTATATTCAATGTACAATCTTTCCTAAATTCATATTTAAGTTCAATATATTGTATTATTTTAAAAAAAGAGAAAAAGGAACATCAAAATTTGTGATTCTGTACACTACCTGGTCTGTCCAAAAAATGAGGTAGCAAACAGCCATACACAGTGTTTGAGCTTACTGAAACAGATCTGCAGCTATTTCAACTCCTATATCAAAGGCTTTGTTTCCTTTTGTAAACATTTTGTCAGACAGTGTTATGCACAATTGACTATTTTTCCTTCATTGAAGTATGTGCTAATTAGAAATCTAAACTGCAATACTTGTTAAAAAAAAAAGTCAGGTGCCTAATTATCTAATCCATACATCTGTAAATCTTTTTAAATTATGTATAACAGGAATGACTATCTCAGTCAGGTATTCTGACCTTGTTTGTATCTTACAAATCTGTGCAGTCGTGTTTGTTCAGTGATAAAAATTACCATAAACACACTTCACCTTCCTTAAGAAAATCATACTAACCAAATGGAGATAGGCCTGAGTCTCTTTATGAATATTTAAAAAAAAAAAAAAAAACACAAAACACACGACACTGTTTAGGCTAGAAGAGAATTTGTATTTGAAGCATTATCCTTTCACCAAGCAACAGCCCTACAGAGCCTCACTGCAAGGAATCACAGAATCACAGAATCGCAAGGGTTGGAAGGGACCTCGGGAGATCATCCAGTCTAACCCCCCTGCTAAAGCAGGCTCTCCTAAAGCATTCTACACAGGACTTTGTCCAGGCGGGCTTTGAATATCTCCAGAGAAGGAGACTCCACAACCTCCCTGGGCAGCCTGTTCCAGTGCTCTGCCACCCTTAGAGTAAAGAAGTTTTTCCTCATATTCAACTGAAACCTCT